AAAAAAAAAAAAAAAAAAAAATCAATATTTGTACCATATATATAATATTTATATAGACTATGATGGAAATTATTTTATTATATTTATTATTTCAAAAACCTGACATCTTTAAAAACCTATTGTAAATATTTATAGTTTTAATTTTATTTATAAAATTTAAAAAATCACATTAAAGATTAATTATCGTAATTAAATATACTTGTCATATTGTGACAATTTTCTTTGTTTTTATTTATAATTTGGAGCTTTATGTACACACTATGAAATAAATCTAAAGCAATGTGTCCACTAATCAAAAATGATCTGTAAATTTATTAAAAAAACTACATTTTATTTTAGTTTAGTTAAATGACAGAACTTGAAAATAATTTTTATTTTTATGTAGCATCATTTACTTAACAGTAAAACCTATAAGGATTCTCACGGTTAATATATTTATTTTGCTGGTGCAAGTAGTCAAGAACTTATCATTGGCGTTTGTATATCTGTAATCTCGGAAATATCTCTCTTGTGGATGAATAAACATGTCTTTAATGTCTCAACATAGTGTTTTATTAAATTTTCTCTTAGGTTTTTAATTTTATTAATATTGAGTCTAACTCTTTAAATATTTTAGAGTGATATCATATTTTTTCCTTTCAAGTTCCTTTTGATAACTTACTGTAAAAAAATTAAATGATAAGTAAACTTTATTTTGGATATGAGTAAGATTAACTTAAGCCACGGTGATTAACTAAAATCTAACATTATTCATTAAAATATATAATATTAATGAACAAGTCAATTAAATTAAAAATTGTATGACTTTAAATTCAATATATTTAATGTTGAGGCTTGTGATAATTAAATTTTTTAACGTAAGAGTTTGTATAGCTCCTTAATATTTTCAATCAAATCAATTTGATTATTAGAGTAATTTATCAAAATTGTTAATGTGTATACTTGCTTAATTATATCTATAAATAATTATAAATTTATTTACAAAATTTAATTTAGCGAGTTAACTATTTAAAAATATTTCACATTTAATTATTATAAGGTATAAAATTAATTAAAAAATATTTAGACAATAAAAATTAACCTCAATTATAACTAAATAAAATAATATAGTTGTGCAGTTTTTATTAAAAAAACAGTAAAAACTACTTTAATATAACATTTATTATTTAAAATAATAATCAAAATTGTATAAACATATATTAGTCTGAATTTTTCAAAAAAATTGAAAATATTTTTTAATTAAAAGGTAACAAAAATAAATAATATACATGGTAAAAAGAATTATCAGTCTGGTATAGATGAATTAGTAGTTATAGATTTCAATAGTTTGTAACACTGAAGCAAATTTTTGCGGTCACCTATTTTTTCAAGTGCTCTGGCTGCTTCAGTTAACATTCCAGCTCTTATACCAGGAGGTGACAATAATGACATTGGTAAATGTTTGCATGCCATGAAAAGTGCAGTAGCATGTTCTCTCAAACCAACTGAACTTTTATCCCCTTTTCCTAAATAAAAAGGATTTTATTGAAATAAGGAAAATAATTTTATACAATTCTGAATGATTTACCTTTTGTGCATATTAAGAAATTACGTGTTGATCTATGTCTTAAACTGCGGTCAAATAATTTCTGTGTTTTTGTAGGTGATGCACCGGCCATTAAACGAGCAGTAGCTTCATACAAAAATACTTTAGCAGTTGCAAACTATAATTGATGTTTAATATTTATTAATTATCTCATTACATAATTTAAAAAAATATACCGGAACAAATTGTGAAATTTTCTTTAATGAAGTTAAATCGTCTTGAAAACTTTTTAGGTTTATAAACTCTATATTGATATGGCCAGATGATGATTTTTTACATTCTTCTTGCCATATTAACATCCTAGTTTCTAATAACCAATCATTAGCTAACAACAAAGTCATCTACAAAATAAAATTATACCAACAGTTAAAGGGTGTGTATTTTATTACTTGCACTTTATAATTAACTTATATCCAAACTTATTAATTTTTTTTTTTGGTCTCAAAAACTTTACTTTGGTTAAATAAGGTATGATGTATAAGTTAATTAGTGTCTTATAATTAGGGCAGTGGGTATAATTAGATTAATTAAATATTCAATTTCAACAAAAATGTACTGAATTTTCCAGTGAAAGATTAATGACTCACAATAACCATAGGCAGAGGTTTATCCGCTTGTAATAAAATTAATGTTTCAGACAGTACTTTGCTTGCATCCTGACATTGATATTCCAATATTCTGGGTTTCAATGTTTGAACTTGATTGCGACACCTATAGAGTAACTTTACATAAATTAAAACATTTATTTATTGATTAAAATTTAAATTCATACTTGTAAGCAGCTAATACAGCTTGAGCTAAAGGATCACTCAATAAATGCTGAGGAATGTTCAAAATGTGTTTTTCAAGTAACTCTGTATCTTTATCTTCACCTAAAATCCAGTAAGCCCCAGCTGCAAATAATGTTGCCCACCATGCAGCTTTTTCATCTTCAATCACTATATTAATACAAAACAATATTTTTTTAAAATTACATATAATTTTGAATGTAATTTTATGTTTCACCATTTATTTCTGAACTTCCAATTACTCTAGGTTTTATTGTAATGAAATTGGATTCTACTATTCTTTGCACATATAAAAGAACATCAGAAGTAACTGTTGGTTGTTTAGGATGACCCGCCACTTGAACAATTTGCCTGGTTCCAGGGGATATTAATGTTTCTAAAGCTTTTTCTAACGTTTTTTCTCTAAAAGACTAAAGAAAAAGATTTTAATTGTATTAATAAGACTTTACAATTAAAAAAAAAATGTGAAAAATAAAACATTTCTTACTCTGGTAACATAAGATAATGCATCAGTGGGATTAGACAAATTTGTAAAACATGATTTGTTTTTATTTGGGTTAAAAATCCAATTACGATTGAGAAAAAACCTCAAACCATAGTCTGTAGTAAGCCAATTTAAATTTGCAGGCAGTCTGTTATAATTTATTTCTTGATTTTGAGCTTTGTGTAAATAATATCTAAAAATTATTTATAATTAAATTTAATTTATCTAATTTTAATCAAAATATTATTACAAACATAGATCATAGCAACAGCATTTTATTAATGAATTATATTATAAAATCATATACCTAGTAAAGAATCCAGCTCCTTTCAATTTAACATTTTTTAAATTAAGAGCCATTATAGAGTAGAGGCGAACACGTGTTTCAGTTGGAACAATTTGTTTTCCAGCAGCTTCAGCCATGTTTATGGAGCAAAGACCCAAATAAAGACCAACGCCTAAATGAAGATTCGGTATTTGACAGTCAGGTCCATAAATTAAGTATAAATTATGTAATAAATGATAAATTTCACTGAGTTGTTTGGCAGTATTTAATGCATCTTGTTTTTTAAGTCTGAAAAATTAAAAACAGATAATATATTGATTGAAATTTATAAAAATTTTTTATTCTTCATTACGAGTTTTCAAAAATTGAAGAACACCATTTTTTCACAAGTATAAATAATTTAAATTGATGTAAAAATTGCCTAATAATTTGCCATAAAAGTGAAGCCCATAGCTTTTTACGACTTGTCCATAGGGGCCGATCAAAAATTTCCAAGCACTTTGTAAGTTCATGTACTGCCATTTTTTTGTTACCCTAAAATATTATTAAAAATAAAAACCTAACAGTAATTATATATAAATTATTTCTATCATAACTCCCTAAAAATACGTATTTACAAATGTTTATACTAAGTTATCAAAATAATCACTGTTTTACTGATATATCAATGAAGGTCAAGCATATTTTTCAATATTTTTTAAATACACAGGGTAATTGATTTATCACTAGATTTCTTCTAAATAATAATAATTTGAGAATTAATTTTTTGGCTTGTTTAAGTAGTTAAATATTTCTTAGGTCTATCCCTTACCGCTTAAATTTTATTTATTTTTTTAAATAATGACATACATATTGAATAGATTAAATGTTAGAAAATAATCCAACAAAGAAAATGACTGGTTGATAAGAACTTTTGATCTTGACTTTTCTAATGTTATGAGCATTTATAAATAGGAGTGAAAAGAAGAGTGTGGTTAAGTGATGTGTAACAATAAAATTAACATAACCTGCACCTCACAATCAGTCTATATTTAATTTTTTTAATAATTTCTTAAATACTGCTACAAAAGTTGCTATGTACTAGTCATTTTCTTGTATTATTTTTTTAATAAATAATACTAAATAAAATAAAAAAACAATTTTTTAGAAGATATTTGATAGTTAACAATAAATAAATCACCTTGTATATATAATATATATATAGTGTATATATATTTATATATACTTTAGTAATCTAATAGTAGTAAATATGTTTCTTTTTTGGTTTTTAGTAAAATAGTTACTTTGTATTCATAAATTTAATTTTTTTTTTATGATAAAACCTTAAAAGAAACCTTAACAAAAAAATATGCTATAAACATAGATCAAAACTGAAAACTTCTTAAAAAAAAAAAAAAAAAAATTAACGCAAAACATTTGCTGGATAGTTATAAATGATACCAGAACTTTGTAGGGCAGTCTATTGTATATGTTGTTTCTATTAGAGTGTGACATTATCATTAAAAAAATTAAACAAATGTTACTTTTTGTAAATTAATTTTTGCATTTTTCCTCCTTTGAGTATAATCTTGATATGCTTCTGAGTCAGAATAAACAATAGGATCATTGTTAAGAAGACAAATTAAGCTGATACACATAATACTTATGTTTAGTGTCCATATAGCTATGTTAAACATTAAATTATGTGTTACTTCCAATTCAGAATCTAAAAAAAAGTATCATTATTGAATATTTACTATAAATATACAATTCTTTCAAAAATAGATTTATTCCAATGAAAGTGTAGTAGGATATACTAGATATAATAAGTTTTTTTTGTAGTACACTACAATACTAAAAAAATTTGTGTCAGACAATTATTTTTCTATGTGAAATAGGCATTTAAAACAAAAAAATGTTATTTTCAATCAAGCAAATAAATTAAAATAATTTAATTAGCATTTAGAGTAAAAATTTGAAATGTTTAAGTTGTAAAATTAAAAATACACAATTTATGAATTTAACAGATTTATGAGTAAAATTTCACATTGAAGCGTTTTTTATGATAGTGATATCAATTACTGCCATATCCTCTCTTAGTAATGACCCCACTGTGCTGGGTTTTTAAATACACTCTGTAGTTAAGTCATTGGATTACAAAATATTATTTTATGGTTGTTGCCTTTTACTTATACTTTCAAAAAAAGAAAATGAGAAATAAGAAAGTAGAATAGCGTAAAATAAATAATTTGAATGGAAAAGATAAGTAAGTTCTTTATGTGATATAAATCATATATTATATAATAATATAGAATAATTCGTGGGACGGTGTGGCCGAGTCGGTAACGCGGCAGCGCTTGACGCGTAGTGTCTCAGGTTCAAAACTCGGTCACGGGCGGCTTCATTTACCGAACGAGAGATCAGTTCGGTAATTTGGAGTCGCCATCCCACCTCCGGCGACGGACTAACCACCCGTCCCGGAGTATAAATGGTTAAGAAACCTCCTCCTTTGGGGAGGCCGCTGTGGCCCTTAATGGGCTAATAAAAGCGCGAAAAAAAAAAAAAAAAAAAAATTCTTACCTATTTTAGCATTTAAAATAGTTCTTCCATCTACTTTATCAGACCACGAAAATTGACTGTTTGGTGAGTTAAAAGACAATAGATTTCCAAATGGATTAAAAGCAACAATAGCAAACATGAAAATACAAAGTGCTAATCTAGAATGATCAGTCATACCTTTACAACTAGAATTATTGTTCTAAAAATAAAAAAAAAATTTATTTAAACTAAAAAAATAATAATTTACAAACATTATAAATTATATTTTACCAAGGATTGGTGAGTCGTTATAATATTTTCGGGTGATGTTGGTGGGGATGATACACAGTCTGATCTTTCAGGTGAAGATAGTGATATATAAGACTGTGGTGGTGTTAATGAACCAGGGATACTGTATTCTTCATTTGAAAGAGTAGAACAAGGACTGTTGACAGGTTGAATCTTTGATACTGCTAACTTTAATAATCTATTTTCATCTTTCAATTTTTCATTAGCTAATTCCATGTACTTGATATAATCTATAGCTTTCTTAAGTATTGCTGACTTGTTAAGCTAAATCAATAAAACATAGTATTGATTTAATCAATATAAAAAAATTGTGTCACAAAATATTTATATATTTATACGGAGTGATTCTTTTAACGCTAGCCAAAAATTTAAGTGGGAGTTATAGTAATCATATGGTTTATGAATTTTATTTACATTATACATAGAAATATATATATATGACTTGGTCATAATTTTATTCTATTAACTCTAAAAAAATTTTTTATCTAACTAAAGCAATTTAATCTTATTTCTTTTAATAAAATTAATATCCAATAGAATATGATAAATGATAAATAAAGAATAACCAAATTGAACAAGTATAAAACATATACTTGGGAACACCAAAATTTTTTTTTATTTAAGCTGTGTGATAACTTTCATAACTTTGATTTCTGGACAAAAATTGAAAATGGAGATCTTAAGAAAAAAAAAATTGATTGCTCTTTGTTTGCCCATCACCAGTTTTTACATAATTAAAAACCACTAAATAATTTGTGGATACTGAAATAATACAAATAAAGCAAACTAATAAAATTGAATACAAAACAATATATTTTAGTTATATACTAATACATTCATTCATAATAAATGTTTTATACCTTATATTATTATTAAGATTACTGTTTAATTATTATACAATTAATAAAAATAACATTAAATAATTATTTAAACAAAATATAAATCATATTTCATTTATTATTAATTCAAAATATTGAATTCTTCAGTAATCCCCCCCTCCCACAATGATGAAATAAACTTCCAACAGGAACATTACATTTGCTTCTCTTGTGGTTGTTACAATAGTGTGTTTTTGATGGTTAAACTGATTATATTATCTATACTTAATAATAAATAAATATAGTTTAAAAAACTAAAAAAATATGCTTTTATAGCACATTAAACTAAAAAGTTAAAAAAATTTTTAAAATAAGCTTAAAACAATAATGAACGAAAGATACTAGTATTATTGTGAAAAAAGTGTCAGGCGTTAAACATACAAAAAATATGACACAAAGCACCCACGTTTATTTTTTAAATAATACTAGTATTTTTCGTTCATTATTATTTTAAGTTTATTTTAAGAATTATCATTAACTTTTTAGTTTGATGTGCTTTAAAAGTGTGTTTTTTTAGTTTTTAAACTATATTTATTTTTCACTTTTTAGTTTTTTATGACATTGCTGTCAACACATTCACGGAGTGTTTATTGTCAATTATGACTATCACTAAATATAATTTCTGTATTGGCAGTTAGTTATTTATAAACTCACAACTGTGTCTTATTACTTTTGATAATAAAGGATATATATCTGAGAATATCGTCTAAAACTTTAAAGCTAGTTTACATAAACATATATTTACTTTTGTTTCAGGTCCAAGAATCATATTTTTTAACTCCATTATTTTATCATTAATACTTGTTCTATATCGTCTTTCTATAACATTGTGAGAGCTTTTAGGTTTATTATCTTTAAAAAATTCTTTATCACAATTATTATTATTTGAAGCAACATTCTCTGAATCCATCATAACTGGTATATCTAGAACAATATTATTTAATCATATTTTTACCACAATAATGATTAATAATAGTAATTAACATTACTTGTTGTAACAAATGCAGCATTATTTAATATAATAGGATGAACTTGTCCTGGTGAAGATGTATACATTAAAGTAGGTGTATTATTTAAAGGTGCATTTAGAAATACCTGAAGAAAAATAGTTTTATTGCTTTAATATACATATAAATTATAATTTATTTTTAATTTTTGGAGAGAAATGTTTTAATCATTTTCATACTAAATTTTATTTTTGAATCATAAAATATGTATCATAGGCAATTAATATTACATATTTTTTACTTATAATATTATACAAAAATGTTGTTTTATTAAAATAATAGTAATTTATACTTTATAAACCTAAATTATAATAATCAAATCAAAATTTTATAAAAAGTAATGAATTAAAAAAAAAAATTATTTTATACTTGTTTCATTTGATCAGATGGTAAATGAATTTGACCCAAACTTTGTATGGGTATTAGTGTATTTGTTCCTGCTTTTTGAATGTATCCAATTTTGGAATTTGCATTTTGTTCAACAATATAGTTTGGTTGAATAGGTTTTTCAATTAATTTTCTATTAGGTTTGATGCGTGTAACCACATTTTGGCTATGTTTTGGTAATACAGGTGTCATTGTATTAGCATTCATTTGGGGATCTGTGATTTTTGTAACATGGTTTTGGTACTTTTCCTCAACTAATGGTAAATTAACTGAAGAAAAGCTAGTTGTTACTGGACTGTTCATTGGAACATCAAATTCAGACAATATATTATCATCTGTAAATAACTTAGTGTTCACTTCAGGCATGTTAACATTGTAGTCTTGTAGAAGATCTATAAAGAACACAAAATTATATTATATTGGAGAAAATGTAATACAGATATATATATTTACCATCAAGACCAGCAATGTCAAAATCTTCAGACAAGCCAAATGTATCCATAGTATCCATTTTGATTAGTATGGTAGTAAATAAACCTATGAATTAATAATTTTTAAATAAATTACATTTTGTGATGTTTTGACTCTATGCAATTAAAGTATCGCAAAACGAATTTCCTCAAACTCAACATCTAGTAATAATAAGTACAAATAAATTCAACTTTTCAATGTTATACAAATTGCGTACCTACTTCGTAGTACACGTGTAAAGCGTAGTATCAATGATTCAGATTCAAGTTTAATAAAAACGTCACATCATAATAATAGTTCACTAGCCAATCCGAATGTTCGTACAAACATGCGCAACTAATTTGTAGAAGAATAATTGATTAAATTTACCTTAAGTTTCAAACGAACCTATTATCATTATCAATCGTACCATATCTGTTATCGTCACCATATCGTACCATTTTGATAAAGAATAAGATAATAATTTTTTTGTAATGATAGAAATTCTAAATAATTTCTTGTTAGTAATTAGTAATTTAGCTAAACTTGTAGTTTGTTATAAGTTATCACTTAATGTGAGCACTCTGTTAAGTTAAATAAATTATTTTAATATCTCTAGATATATACTAAATTTTATTTTATATACTAAAATCCTAAGCCCCTCAAATAAGGTCGACTTGGAAGAGATTTTACGTTTTTTTCATTTTAAAAGTACGCTTTTACTCCTCCGGTTGGGTTTTATTATACTATAGTGTTAATTATTTACTGTTAAGATATCTTTAACTCTGTTATGGTGGGAAAATTTTAGTATTATAACTCAACTTATGAATCACAAATGGCGATACTTATAAATTCTTAGGAATATTGATTAAATATAAAACTAATGAATTTGTTTTAACGAATTAAATATGTCAAATTTAAGACTTGTTGTACCTCAATGTACTGAGCAAAAAACCATTTTAAATTTCGGGTCTAAAAAATTACTAATATTTCCCTCTCAATTCGATATATAAAGTATATCTTTCTTATTATTTTGAAACCACAATTAAAATAAATAGTAAATAGAAAAATATAATTAAGATCGGTTGTATATTTATGATGAAGCTAATTAAAAAAAATTTCTATTAAGAATTAAGAAAAATATAAATTGCTATTTACTAATTAATTGATGATCAGTCTAAATCAATTAAATATTTACAATTATTTCACAAGATAATCTTAGTAAATGAATTTGGAGTAAACAACTCTCTATGATGATTGTTTAAATTATTAAAGTAAAAAATTTTATGTATTTCAATTTCAATTCATTTAATTTAATACTTATTTGACGCTTGATGAAAAATAAGTTGGCAAATTTATGTATGACAACCTGCTGACTGGCTCTTTAAAAGTTTAAAACTAATTTTAAAAATATATATCAAAGTTATAATTACAATTTGTACAAATCATAAAAAAATGTTATGATGTACATATAGGTTAATAATAAAAACTAGCATATTTTTAAAACATCATTTAACTCCTTTACTTTCACCATCATCATCTAAATGTTGATAAAGTTTTGTAAACAAATTTCCATTTCTCATTTGTACAGATTTTAATCTTCCTGCAAATTGAGGTCTATTAGGTGTACTTATTTTATGGCTATTATGTTCTTGAATAATCTGAAGGTACATAACACTGTTAGGATTTGCACTAATATTACTATGAACTATATGTTTTAATCCAGTTTGTTGAGCTAAAGGAGGAGACATAGGTGAATCAGTAGTTGCTCTAATAACACTGGGCCTTTCTGACAAAGTTTTTTTGAAACGTAATAAAGTTTTTTCAATTATTTTATCTTCATCTGGTTTACACCTACACTCTAATAAACATTGAAGAATTTTGCAGTGATTTTCTGAATAGAGATTTGACTTTAAAAATAATTCTAATTCTGACCACATCGATTTATACTGATCATCCTTTTTCATAACCTTTCTAGGGTTTGTTAAACTAGGAGTTATGAGATGTTCATTTTTAGATTCAGCCGTCATTAAAGCATAAATACACTGTTTACAATGCATAACTTCTTGGTCATTAATATTTTCTTTAACCATCAAAGTTAACATAGGTTCAGTGTACTGTTTTAAGTTAAAAATTATAGTAGAAGATGTAGTAAGAGGCCAATATGCTGTCTGTTTTTTAAGTTTTTCTTTTGCATCTTCAATTAAATTTTTATCATCAGGCAACTTTCTCTTAGATGGTTGTAGTAAGTTAGATCTCATAAAAACACCAAAGTCAGCAACCCGATATTGAGTTACTTTTCCTCCTGGTCCTTCACTTATTGATGGTGGATCTTCTAGTACAGTCCGACCAGATGATACAGTATGTATATAAATCTCTCCATTGTATGATTTAAGAACATGTGACATACTTTTGTTACCACTTTGTTTAATCATTTCAAGAAGAACTGAGCGACCATTAAGTAAAAATGTAATCAAGCAAGCACTAGGTCTACTATTTATATCAACAGGTGTAATCCTATGTAGTGTAGTACAACTATGGATGTCAGGTAAATTATTATTTGCTCTTGGAGTGCACCATTTAAGTTTTATAGTTTCATAATCAGCTTCTTCTTTCCTTGCTACAACTGCTTTAGCATCAGCTAAATTTGCATTTAAAATAGCAGTATGCGCAGCAGCTTCATGATATATTTCTACATCATAATTTGCAGATGAACTAGCATTTTGTTCTTCTTTCATAGGAATACCAGTAACTGTTGTACTGGCCAAATTATAATGTTTTAATAAAAGATATGCTATTTTATGTCCAACCTTAGATGCTGGTATACAATATACTTCTAAATTCAAAATTGGAGATATAATATAAAGATTACGATCTGTAACTTCACATGATATTGAATCTGGATATGTATTTATAATAACCAAAGTACAGTGATGAATAGGCAATGTATCAGGAGTTGTCGTATACTTATTAATTTTGATCATCTCATTATGAAACATGGACGCAAGATTATCAATAGAAGCATTATCTCTTGCTGATGTTATAATTATTGTTCTACACCTAGAAAAATTCATAAACATCAAATAAATAAAATATAGGCATATTTATGAAGCAGAAAAAATGTTTACAAATATTTATATGTATATAAATAATAATACAGTATGTATATATTACAGCTTATAAAATTGGTCTTTCAAATTTTGATTTGGAAAAATTCAGAATAAATGAATAGTGAAATAAAAAGATTATACAGCATAAAAATTCTAAAATAATTATAGAAAATCTAATTACAATTTTCTTGTATTTGCGTTTATAGATAAATATGACAGTTTAATTTGATCCATTTAAAGAGTATTTCATCAAAATTATGAGATAGACAAATACAATGTAAAACAAGTTTTTTTTATAAATACATGAAAATTAATTTAAATTCATTTGATTTTTTTAAAATTTCAATGAAATATTAAACTAAAGTTGCGAACACTATTCAATGAAACATTTTAATGTTACCATTGAATAATCAGAAAATAAAAATTGTAGGTTTCTTTTATAATATTACAAGATAAAATAAATAATTGTGAACTACCATGGACGTTTAAATAATAAAAATAAAATGGTAATTGTTAATTTTTAAAAAAATTACTTATTTTGTACTTCAATAGTAGCTTTCTTAGAAATATGTTCTTTTTGAGCTGTTGTACATTCAGACATTGCTTCAGCAGCTAATCGAAATCCATATACAATACTGTAGTCACGTGAAGGGTTAGGTATTAACTTGGCAGGTGGTCCAAGTGCTGATAAATGATGAAGCATATAATTTACATTTTGTTGATTTAATGCCCAAGTATTGAGATTTCGTGCTTGTAAATCACTACTTATAACTCGGATGAGTTTTCCTTCTGGAAAAAGATCCCATACAATTCGGCAATATTCTAGAACAGATTCAATACTACAAGTCCACATAGATTTGAATACTGGTGATGGGGGTATAGCGCCAAGAGGACGTTTAGTAAAATCCATTTTTATGTGTGCATTACTTGCTAAGCCAAAATATGGAGTATGATCAACAATAAAAGTGGTTTTATGAGTTGCAGGAAATAATTTATCGAATAGACTCATGGTACTTTTGTTAAAGATTAAATAATTAAATAAAAAACCGTTAAAATTTATAAGATTTTATTGAAAATAAAAATTAATATACAGTACTAACTGGTCTTTTAAAATTTTCTTCTACTAACCCGGTTTGTTTCGTAATTTGTATATAAGTGATAAAAAAACTGTGATAGCTGTAATATGTTTATTCCATGAAATTTAATTTAATGTGATATTGTTCATAACAGGATCAATAACAATTTTCAAATATTTATAGGTAAATAATTGACCGTTTGAATTGAATTGAAAAATTCAACATTGAAAAATTAGTGTTCTAGAACAATTCATAGTGGTCCCTTATTGTATATAATATATACATGCTTATATACATATATATATTATATATATGTATACTTCTTCGCAGTGAAGGTTTAAATTATTTTATGTGAGAATCATTCATATGAAACCATATTATCCAATAGATGTTAGGTACTGTGCCTACGAACTTATTTTTGATGACCTATTTGCTGAAAGCTCTAATTTTAGTATTATTTTTGGTAAAAAAAAATTGTTATAGCTCTAATTTAAGGGGCTGGATCGTGAAAGAGGTGACTTGCAAATAATTTTTTTTCAATTAGTATCTAGACCTGAGAATAGTTTCAGGCCTGTTCATAGGCGCAAAATAGAGCATGAATTGGAGCTAAGCTAGGCTTTTAATTGATAAATTAGCCCTTCAAAATTAAAAAACGGTAGCACAGTGGGGTCGAGGCACAGTATAGACGTGGCATAGATGAGATAAGTATAGATGATATCTGACAGTGATTAAAATCACTATCATAAGAAACGCTTCGATGCAAATCTGTAGATAGTGTTTCCTTTAGAGAAATTGGTGAAATATTTTAAAAGCAACATGAACTCTTATTTCTTTAATTATATCCTGATTAGTAGTTCTTTGATTTTAAAATATAATATATGAATAAATACTAATTATAGTTTTTAAATTTAGTATGAAATTGTGAGGCCAGCTATGATGTATGGTTAATAGTGTTGGGCGGTTGATAAGAAAGTAGAGCAGAGAATAAGTGTAGCAGAGATGAGAATGCTTAGTTGGATGAGTGGAGTGACTAGAGAAGATAGGATAAGGAACGAGCATATAAGAGGAAGTATAGGTGTTGCGTCAATCGTGGATAAGATGACAGAAAATAGACTTAGATTGTTTAGTCATGGTATGAGGAAAGAAGAATCGAAAGCTGTAAGAACAGTTATAGAAATGAATGTTGAAGGAAGAAGAGATAGAGGAAGACCAAAAAAGAGATGGAGGGATGCTATTGAATGCGATTTGAGGACAGCTGATGTGAGCGTAGAAGATGTGGGAGATCGTGTCAAGTGGAAGCTTAGGATAAGGGTGCCCGACCCCAAGTAGTTGGGATTAAGGCAAAGAAAAAGAAAAATATTACCAGATATTCCGGTGGCAATTGACATAATATGATTGTTATTTCGGAATGTACAATTTAGCGTTTAGTTGGGTTTAAATAATATAGCGTCAAATCAATTACCTACTCTATCGGTTGTATCTCAATATACACTACACTTTAATGATACAATAAATAAATAAACTCACACATACACACATATGCATTTATAACATTGTGTCTAATGTAAGTATAACATGATAAAAAGTAACCGTAAAATGAAAAAAATGGAATATAAATTTTATTACTCATATTAAATGTAATGTAACTCGAAAAATATTTGTTTAAATGAAAAAATATAAGATTATATTTTTATTTATAATTGTCTTTTAAACAACTTTTGTGCGAAACTTTTTTTTGTAAGTTAAATATTTTTTTTTGAGAAAATTAAGAAAGCTCATATTTTTGAACTTTTGCGAGGATTTAAAAAAAAAGCTCAATTCCAATCTTGAGGACTATTAGTATGTCATTATACATATTTTAATTCAACTTTTAAAAAAACAAAATTTTTTCCGCAATTTTTCCTTTGTTGACAGGCCTAGATGTCAATTTTAAACTTGTAATTGAGCTAAAAGTTATGGTAATATATTCAATTTATTTTACTATAAACTTTCATAAATCTTTATCAAAAATTTTTCATCAACTTTAAAGAACCAAAAAAATAGGTTAAAATTGAAAATTTGGACTGATTATTTTTAACATATTAAAAATCAAATCAGTAATAATTTGAAAACAAATTTTTTTTTCTTTTAATTATTATTTTATATATATAATTAGTAATAATATAAAAAATTAGAAGTGATAGAAATAGTCTACTTGCAGATTTGAAAACAACGCGAAAATTTGATTTAGAAAAGTATATTTTTGCTTCTGATGAAAGTTCCTTGTAGTCCAGTGCATTTTTTTATAGTAACAAACAGTTTTTATTGAAAATTATTGTATCAAGCCCTTTAAATTTTTATACACGTAAAAGTAAAGCAAAATATAACTTCTTTATTATTTTTATAATTTCTCCGTTTAAATTACAATATTAAATATCAATTTCATACTAAATTTAATAATTATAATTAGTATATATTCATATATTATATTTTAAAATCAAAGAACTACTAATCATGATATAATTAAAGAAATAAGAGTTGATGTTGCTTTTGGAATAATCCACCAATTGCCTAATTAAAACAAAAAAAAAAAAAGTTTGTTGGGAATTTTTTCTGCTATTCTGCAAAATTACTCCTTCGTTGACTAGAATGAATCATTAAATAGAAAATTTTATGAGAATTAAAACAATGTTATTTTTAAGATTAATATGCAGTCAGAAAGTTTTATAATTATTATTTATTGTAAATTTATCAGAAAAACTCATTATTTTTTGCATTTTTATCGTAATAGAACACTTAAATAGAAATCATAGTAATCATTTCTAAGTAATTTTTGATATTTAAAAAGATTCTACTATTGAAATATCCAGAACTGAATTAATTTTAATGATTTACTTTAACTAAAAAAAAAAAAGTTAATATTTTGAATCCCTCTTGTGGGCAGGTAAAGGGTTAGATTTATAAAAAAAACCAAATGATAGATAAAGACATGCATCTAAATAAAAAAAAATATACTGATTTGGTCATTTTTGATAAAGTTATAACAATTAACAAAGTTATAAGTTTTATACACTGGACTACAAGGAACTTCCATCAGAAACAAAAATATACTATTCTAAATCAACTTTTCGCGATGTTTTAAAATGTGCAATTAGACTTTTTCTATAACTTCTAAGTTTTAATATTATTAAAAAATAGTTTTTACATATAAAAAAAAATAATTAAGAACAAAAAAAATTGTTTTAAATTAATACTGATTTGATATAATATTTAATATTAATTTGATTATTAATAAGTTAAAAATAAGGAAAATGACATATTTAACCTATTTTGTTAATCGTTTAAAGTTGATTGTTGTAAATGTTTATAATAAAAAAAAAAAATTTATTTTACCATAACTTTTAGCTCAATTGGTAAGTTTGACATTGACATAATTAAATAGAAAATTTTATGACAATTAAAAAAATTGTATCGTTAAGATCAATATGCAGTCAGAAAGTTTTATAATTACTATTTATTGTAAATTTATCAGAAAAGCTCAATATTTTTTTGCATTTTTATGGTAATAGATAACTTAAATAGAAGTAATAGTAATAATTTCCTAGGAACTTTTGTTGTTTGTTGAAAAGATTCTATAATTGAAATATTGAGAACTTAATTAATTTTAATGATTTACTTTAACTAAATGTACCAATCAAAACAAAGTTGTTAAAAAGATTTACTCAATTGAGTGTATTATAAAATTTGATTATATTTGTAAAAATCAATTGTTAATTCAGGAGAAAAAACAATCATTTTTTTTAGAAATGATTTATATAGCAACATGTTACAAAAAAAAATTGTAATATTATAGTCTAGTAGTAGCACACACAAATAGAGTAAAAAAATTATTAAATTACAAAGTAAAATGATTTAATTTTGTAGTTGAAACCTATCATATCAAACTTCATTCGTTAATAAATATTTTGAAAACATTAGAAATTAATGATTTTAATTGTCTTTATGGAGACGATGTAATAACTAACTGTTTAATTGATAAATTAGAATTTTTTTTTCAATTTTTGAGAGTAATATCTTCAACTAGATACGAATTGTAGTAATTTGACGTATTGTTGAAAAAAGTAGGTCAAGTTAGAGCAGAGAAAATAAATGATAGTCACAAAAAAATATCTTCTCGGCTTTGCATCGAAGCGAAAACTTAAAATATAGTAAAATAATTTTAATACGAATAAGAAATTTCTTCTTGCAAGGGGCGACTAAAGTGATGGGATCCTTGATCTTTATTGAAGTTATTGAATCTAAATGTGATAAAAATCAAACGAGTTAAAATTTATACTAACTTAAAAAGAATTAAGAAAAAATGCAAAAAATTCATTGCCATATGCGGGTTGGAACCTCGTACCCCAAGCGTGTAAAACATAAATTTTACCAACTCGGCAACCGTACGTTGCTTCCGGCGGTTGAAAAATTGGCTATTTAAGCTAGTTCAAATTTCAAAGTTATTTTTCTCGACTTAAAAGAAACAAACATATTTAAATAAGTTTAACTATCTATACTATATCAATTTTAATTTATATAATATTTATGAAAATCTGTACTCCCCTTGTCAGGTATTTTAAAATAAAATAAAATACAAAACCCAGAATTTTAACACAAAAATAGCATATTTTTGCATACGGTAGTCATTTTTACCATGAAGACAAATCCAGAGGTCAAATTTTTTTTTTTCACATTAAAGTATATTACATAAGCTTTAATTTAAGATATATTTAAAAGTGTCAGTATTTCCGGAATACTTTCAAAAATTAAATTGAAAATATCGTAGTAACAATACGCATGTTTAAAGTTTTGACCCCCCTTGTTAAAGGGGTATGATCCGATTTACAAAAAAAGCGTGCCAGATGAAAGGGGTATATCAATATTTATTATAAAAAAATAATAATATAGATCCATACATTTTTCCAAAAGTTATATAAAATATAAATTAAATAATATAACATATAAAATCGAGATTTTTTTCACGGAAATCGTACGTTTTTCTTTAACTTTGATGTCCGTTTTCACCACGAAGACAAGTCCAGAGGTCAAATTTTTTTTTTTCAAATTAAAGTATATTACATAAGCTTTAATTTAAGATATATATAAAAGTGTCAGTCTTTCCGGAACATTTTCAAAAGTTAAGTTGAAAAAGTTAATTTTTTGTAAAAAAGTTACCATTTTGAAACCCCATCCTTTGGGCTTTTATGGCTTTTATTTTTAAAAAAAAGTATGTCGAATGAAAGAAGTATATATAAAGTATTTATCATTAAAGAATAAAGTTGATTCATGCATTTTTTAAAAAGTTATAGCAACATAATGTTAAAAAATGTAAAATATAATATCAAGAATTTTTTCACAAAAATAGCATATTTTTGCATACGGTAGTCATTTTCACCATGAAGACAAGTCCAGAGGTCAAATTTTTTTTTTTCAAATTAAAGTATATTACATTAGCTTTAATTTAAGGTATATATAAAATTGTCAGTCTTTCCGGAACATTTTCAAAAGTTAAGTTGAAAAAGTTAATTTTTTGTAAAAAAGTTACCATTTTGAAACCCCATCCTTTGGGCTGTTAAAGGGTCAAATGTTCACAAAAATATATAAAATGATAGGTAATTATCTAAGGTATCTATAAAAAAAAAAATTATATTGATTCGGTCATTTTTAAAAAAGTTATGGCAATTTTAAGTAAAAAAAATTGAAAAAATATCGAAAATTAGCGATTTTTAAATTTGTAATTTTTTGGGGGATTTCCCCCGTTTACGGGGAACGAGGGAATTTTTTTCAATTTTTGAGGGTAATGTCTTCGACTAGATACGATTTGTGATCTTTTGACATATTGTTCATCAAAATCGGTCCAGCGAGAGCTGAGATTGAGCGTTCACAGACACAAAAAAAAAAAAAAACACATCATAGTAAAATTAATACCTTCTCAGCTTCGCATCGAAGCTAAAAGTGTTAGTGTTAAATAAAAATAATTTTTTTGAATAAGGTAGAAATATACTTTGTAATAACTAAAAATATAGTTGTAGGGGTGGTATTTATAATAAAAGATAATAATAGCATCATAATGATATAATTAATACAAGTACCTTGATTTCTATTTATTACTTAATCAGTGTAGTAATACCTGATAATATATGAAATTATGACGATAAAATTTTAGCTGGTGATTTGCAATTCTTCGAAGCGTTAACTTAAATTTAGGAAGCGTGTTAACAAGAAGAAAAGTATTTTTAAACCATAAAATCGTGTTAATTTCTAAGCAATGTGTTGGTAATTTTAACTAACGTAAGTTTTAGACAAAGTGAGAGAAGTTAAATTTTAAAATTAGAAATAAAGAAGAGAACGATATGTTAGAGAAACACTAATATGATAACGCGAGAAATGAAAATCAGTAAGTTCAAGGAAAAGTATGGTCTTTTTGCCTTACTTAATAGGCAATGAATGGCATAAGCCAGATAGCAATTTTTAAAAATGTTATAAAAACATTATTATAACATTATTTCAAAAAACTAATAACCCACCTCTTGAGTTAAACTCTCAACCTTCTTATGACACATATTAGTATTGAGAAACATTGACCAAATTTTCAAAAACTTATTTTTAAATGCTTTAACGGTTTTTTAATAATTTTAGAAGTGAGAAAAGAGAAATAAAAAAAACGGTAGCACAGTATGGACATGCCATAGTTAGGACAAGTATAGATGATATCTGACTGTGATTAAAATCACTATCATAAGAAACGCCTAGATACAAATATGTAGATAGTGTTTAATTTTAAGAAATTGGTGGATAATTACAAAAGTAACATTAACTCCTATTTCCTTAATTAAATCCTGATTAGTAATTCTTAAAATCAAAAATCAAAAATATAATTATATTTTATTTTAAATATATTTTATATCATTTTTATAATTAATTGTTTTCAAATTATTATGATTTTGATTTTTAATATGTTAAAAATAATAATTTTTACCATCATTCTTTGTATTGATTATAATTGTAAAAATATATTGTAAATTCAGGTGAAACTAAAAATCATTTTTTTAAGAAATGATTTATTTAGCAATATATTACCAAAAAAATTGGAATACTATAGACTGGTAGTAGCACACACAAATAGAGTTAACAAATTAATAAATTACAAAATAAAAATTGAAGTTGAAAACTTTTATCATATCAAATATAATTCGACAATAAATACTTTAAAAATATTTGACACGAATGATTTTTACGTATAAATTTTATAAATTAAATAATTTAATAAATTCGTTAAATTCGACGGCCATTTTTCCATAGAAGAAAAGGAGTCGGGACAAATTTTTTTTTTTTAATTTATAGTATTTATTTTAAACTTTAATTATACATATATTTATAACTCGGAGTATTTTTGGATCATTTTCAAAAGTTAAGTTAAAAAAGTTCTACTTTTTACTTGTATTTTTATGAAAAATGGTCCGATTAAAAAAAGGATGTCAAATGAAAAAAGTAAAAATAAAAGTTTTTGATTTTTTTGTAATTCATCTATAGAAGAATATTACAATTTAGGCTCCTAAAATTTTTTATCCTAGTGGCATTTATGGATTTATTATACATTTTAATGTATGTTCAAACAACATGTGTATATTATTTATAGACAATTTTCTTACATATGGAATGAAACTGTATAAAATAAATAAGAACGTCTAATATTATATTTGTAGTATCCGATACACATTTATAAAATAATATTTTACTACTTATAGTGGTTACTCGGTTTTATTTAAATTTATTTATCTAGTTAAAATGAGTAATTTTAAATCATTATTAATTCAATTTTGTCTACTAATTACATATCATTCAATCAATGCTTCAAGAAGATGGTCTTCAAGAAGAAGTAAGAAAACTTTCTTTAATTTATGCTAAAAATTATAAGTTAATAAAAATGTATATTGCATGAAGGACGTACCATAATTTACGTTCTTTTATTAAATGGATAATTTAGTAAAAATTTAATTGAAATAATTTTATTATTATATAATTTTATATTTAACTAGGTTTCCAGTAAAATATCCAACATATGACCCCACGTAACTGTTAACGCGCTTAGTGAAATTTCTAAAATTCTGCGACTTCTATTTTTAAAATAAAATGCTCAGTTTTACCACTTATTTCTCTGTCCTGAAAACAGCACTACAATATTAATCTTGGCTAATACATTATGAGCTCAGGATATTTATTAATTGTTCAGGCCCTCATGGATCAATCAAGGAACAATTTTCATCGTAACCTATTACCAGCTAAGATATGTATGTTTCGATCTAATACATCGTGTAGTGTATATATTTAAGAGCGTGTCTTGCAGAAAATGATACAAACTTTCTTTAAACGTAAAAAATAATAACGTATTAAAATACATAGTTATCTTAATTGGAGGGATAGTAAAATATATTCTTATGATAACACAGTGTATTTAGTGAAATATTTAATAAAATAAAGGAACATAAGTTTGTAAAGTTGGTTGGTAATTCTTTTAAAAGGTTGTGAAATTTTTGTTCGCATTTTCAATATATATATATATATATTGGTAAAATGAATACCTTCTCAGCTTCGCATCGAAGCTAATATTTGAAAATTTTATTTTTTAGTAAAATTGTATATGGGAGTAATGTATAAAAAATTTGTTTTTATTATCCTTTTCAAATTTCACAATACATTTATTTTCGCTAAGGAGAGTTCTTTTATATCCTCAATAGCATGTTTATGATCTAGGTGTTTTATGTGAGAAATTTTTAAGCGTAAGATAAAAAGGAAACTGAGAACTTTTAAAAAATTAAAAAAGAAACATTTGTGTTACTACATAAAAATATTTTTAATGAGGAATAAAAATTATATTTATGTTATATGTATAACGCTACAAAACATACCCTAGACTTATGAGAAAGAAGAAAATTAATAAAACGATATTAATTACAAAATTAATGTACATTTATTTTGCTGGGTAGATATAGCAAAAAATTTAATGGTTCGATATTGTATAAACTGTTAAAAACCTTTATTTTTGAAGGTTTTGGTTCATTTCCGGTTTTTTTAGGTTTTGTTCTTATCTTTGATATTAACAAAACAATAAAAAAAATCTTTAATTGATGGAAAAACAGTTTCCCAAAGAACAAAATTATTTAGCTAAAATTAGTATATAAATTTGTTTTGAACTTAAAGTCAAAAACTCTTTTTAAGAAAATCAAAAATTAAATTTTAGCGTAATCGAAATGAACTAACTTTAAAAAAATTATAAAATATAACTAGCATAAAAGTGAATGTTTTCTATAGTAAATATTTGTCTTATAAAAGAAATAATTTATTAACATTTTTTTAAAATAAAACGTCATTTGATGTTCACTGTATCATTTTTCTTGACATTTTAAATGGCAATATAATAGAATAATTATAAGAAATATAATTTATTTTATTTTATTATTTTAATATTATTAAATAAACATACATTCAGGAAATCATAGATGATATTACTATTATTAATAGAGGTAATACTAATATGTCATAATATTATAATAATAGCAATAACTTAATAAAATAGTTAATAAATTAACTAGTCATATTTCATATATGAACTATAGAATAAGTAAAATGTACTTTAGTACCTTGGAGTAATAATTTTTATAAAAAAAAACCAATATTTGTTACATTAAATATTTTTGGAAAGATTAATTATAGTTACTAATATTCCTAGCATGCACATGTGATACTTTTGTTTTATTAAAGTATATACGAGTTATTAATTTTAGATTACTATAATACGAGAAGACTTATAAATCCATGTATAATGATATTTTATGAAGAACGTTAATAAACGAGTGAATAAAAAAAAACTAACTAATTTTTGATCTTTAGGGAGTATTTGATGATTGATCTAATGAGCAATGCCATATTTACCATAGGGACATAAGGCAGCTGCTTATGGCTTCCGTTATTAGGAGCCTTAGATTTTTATGTCGAACGTTTTTCTTTATATAATTTTCGTCGTATAAAATATAAAATAAAGGGTCGTAATTTCAATCTTGCCTTAGGCTTCAATAATATAAAAATCAGGCTCTGCTAAGGTACGAGGGAACCTCCCAAAAATACACAAATCGATCTTAAATTTTAGCAACACTACAAGTTTTATTCTACTATTAAAAATGTTTTAATCAAATAATTTTTTTTAATTATCTATTATTACAAATTTAGTTTTTCTATGTAATCATTAAATATTTACATATATTGAAATGGAAAATTGTAGAAAAAAAAATTGCTTTCTAAAAAAGAGCTTACTAGCGAAATGTAGGTTTTATCCAACAGTACTTGTAAATTGTTGTAGTCGAGATATTTTCTTTTTTAAAGAGCCAGGAAAAATTTAAAATACTTTAAATTCTTCAATAAAAAACTCCACCAACAATTTGAGTTCACAAAGATTTTTTTAGAACAAATTTAATATTAAAATTCTATTTAAATTTAATTATATCTAATTTTATTTACTGTTTTAAAACTAATCTAAATTTTGATATGATATTTATTAGATCCAGGTCAAAGTTCTCGTAGAAATTCAGAAGTTTTAAGATTACCAATATCAAATACTTTAGAACCTGAAGACGTTTATACTTTACAACCTAGCTGCGATATAAAGTGGTCAATTATTGACAATTCTATTAGATATTTAATTGGTAGTAATGAAAATAAAGACAATATTTTTTACATTCCTTCATATATATACTATGCGTATTCATATCTTAAACTAGATAATATTCTAGTAAAATTCATTTCAGAAGCCAATGTCTTAAATAAACATATTATATTGGTAAGCATTAACAGTAATCCTGAAATAAATTCTACGCAATGGATTCTAGGTGTTTTTTATTTAAAATTGCATAAGATAATAATTTTAGATTCAAACATTAATAGGAATACTTTACAACGTCATCATTTTAAAAATTTAGTTAAAATATTGCGTTTATCATACAGAATACTAAGTTACTCATCAGGAGAAGATAATAATATCGATTTAGATGATTGGCAATTAATATACGCTTCAGATGCGTTTCAACAAAATATGGCAACATGGGACAGTGGTTTGTACACTTGTATACACGCAAATTGTATTATTCAAAAAATATTTTCTATGAACTTCAATAGAGAATGGCTTCGTCAAATTTATGATGCATCTTTAAGCTGCGGAATCCAATCTGGATACGATTTGGAATTAATTAAGAATAACATGAGTGATGAAGAAATTCAACAAATAATTGAAGAAGTTTGTGATGACGAATTATCCATTAAATTCATTACAATTCAAAATTTAATTATGAATCAATGAGTTATTAATTTAAATAAACCAAATTCTTATATTATACATATTGTTTTTTTTTAGTTTTTATGAAAAGCTGAAAAAGCATTAATTTCATCATGTGCTTTTTTATTTTTTGCTCAGTGATTGCCCAAAATTTTTTATAAGTAAAATATCTAAAAAAAATTATAAACGTTAAAAATGTCGAAATTTAATTTTTTTTTTTCAAAACTTTAAATTTCTATAACTTTACCAAAATAAGAAATACAAGCTTTATATCAAAATAACATTTCTTTAGTGATACTTGAAATAATTATTTTTCTATGAATATACTTTTTTGAAAACTCAATTAAAAATTTAAATATAAGAGAATTTTTGACAAAGTAAAAAGTTATCTCAAAATTTGTATTCATTTCAATTTTTGGTTACGTTCTAGAAGAATGAAATCTCTTTATCAGTGATAAGTCGTAGTAGTGTTTGTAATAATAATTGGGTTTTTGTTAATATTACACAAAGTGAACTAGTTTATCTTAAGTTTTTAACCTATAAACGAAAAATAGTTCTAAATAAATACGAATTTTTTGGCGTTTAAACGAAACGTTTTGGGAATTCGTGCATTATAAGTATTTATTTGCAAAAAAAACTACTCAACTGCATACGCACGACGCTTAAACGGCTAGTTACCCAGATTGATACACGGCTAAATGTAAAAAAAGCTTTTTTCTTTATTTTTCAAACATACTAGGATCTTTTTCTATGTTAAATAGAAAGGTTTTTAAAGTACTATATTTATTTCTGTCAAAAATATGATGTTTGACTTCATTTAAATAAAATTTCTATATTTTTATTAATCTCTACGAACTTCAAACTAATACATAGTAATATTCTATATCCAAAGATATTTACAACTTGTAAAAAAATATTCATTAAAACACAATTATTAATAAATAAAATCTAGTACGTCATATTGTTTTATTTAAATGTTCATAAGTCATGTTGTAATGACTTAAAAACAGCTGTTTTTAATAGGATTTTTAAATTTAAAATATAACACGCGGTAAAAAAATTATCATTAACATCAGAAAAAAATTTATTTTTAATTGATCTTATATTGGAAGTTTATGATATGGGTCCAACCCCAAGTGGATGGGATAAAGGCGACGAAAATTAAGGAGGATTTCAATAACTCGGTAATAAAAAAACGGTAATATTGTTTCTTGTAGTTAGAAACCATAAATAATTTAATACATTTTATTCGAATATTATAAAATAATACTATTTAAAGCGTTAACATATTGAATCATGAAATGATTTATTTATTATAGATTGATTTATAGAGCACTATGATAAAAATACAAATATTAATTTAAAAGTATTGATATGAATTGTGTAGTCAACAAAATCATTGGAATTTATTCAATATTATTTATTCGAGATTTACAATTTAAAACTAACTAAAAAACTGATGAAAAATAATAAAATTCAATTTTTTTTTATTATTGACATTGTTGGCAACTTGATTACTTAGTTAAAATAATTTATATACATTATTATGTGAGCTCTATAAACATTAAAAATAATTTTTTTTATTCTGCCATACATTCAGTCTTAAAAGTGAAATATTGTATTTATTTATATGCGGATATGGGTAATAAATGATCAGAAAATTAATAAAACTGATTTAATTATAGACCAAAGGCAATCTCAGAATTTTGTTTTATTGGGAGAGTGAAGGGATATTTGTATAAATTTTTTATACCGTAATATAAACATTTTATAATTTTTTTTAGAAGTTAATATATTCAATAATTAAAAAAAAAAATAATTCTCTCCACTTAAGATAGTATTAACTTAAGTTTTTTTAAATAGAAACATATTTCTAAAGATATTAGTTCTTTTGTATTATGGCGGGGAACAGTGGGTTTATATACGCCACAGATAAAAATAAACTAATGTGTTTTACTCCTCACGTCCTTGAATAAAATTATTAAAATCTTTTTTAAAAATACTGGTTCTTCATAGTATCTGTATTTATTTATTTAGTTGTTCATTTTCCATATTAGTGGTGTAATTTCAGTTTTTATAGGGGTGCGACCTTTTTAAATTTTATTTATTTTTGATCTCTTAACAAATGAGTACTGTTGTATACGTTGCGCATAGCGTTATGATATAATATATCATATTATGTAAAATGTGTCTATTTAAAAACTTATATTGAATGTTATTTTTGGTAATTTATAAAATATAAGAATATTAGAAATAGAATATAAAACACATTTACGACGAGACTACCGGATACAGGTAGAATGTTTAAGCGTTGTGCATATTTTCGTGGGCCACTTAAAAAGTCATAGAATGCGATTGAACACTCTGTTAGTATCGAAATGAAGACTCTCTTCTAGATCATTTTTCATGATAACGTGTACGATGTCGATGTTTTTGTATAGTTGGGTTTTTTAGTGTATGGAGGGAGGAGGAAAAAACAATCCAAAAAATTCAGAAAAATCATTTATATTACTTTTTAAAAATAATTTTGGGGGTGTGATATGAAATGCAGTCCTTAGTATGCTGACACGGCCGCCGGGGATTGACGGCCGGTTATAGAAAGTGTACCGGAAATCATGTGAAAAAGAGAGGTACGGTACGGGATTAGAACCCGCGACCCAAGGCGTCTTATAGACAAACCTTATCACAAGGCCACCGTGCACTTATGATTCAGTTCCGATACACTTTCATATAGATTGATAACGTGATGTGCGACTGAGGGAAACACGGTACCGTGTCAATGCTATAAAATCTGTTATATGCTCATAAGAGGAAGAGATGCAATAGTATAATTTATTTTGGCTAGACTGAACCAAATTGATTAAAAATTCAAATATTTTCTAGTATCCATAATTTTTACATTATACCATGGTATTAAAATGAATAATTTCAACAAGATATTGCAACAAATAAGTTATTTTTTAAGATACTTAATTCAACAACAATGTAAATTAATTTTTTTACAAATATAATCTAATTATAATTCATGAATATTATACTGGGTACTTTAAATGATCCAACAATTGAANCTAATTATAATTCATGAATATTATACTGGGTACTTTAAATGATCCAACAATTGAAAAAATTGAAAAATTATAATATAATTGTTAATGCACTGTTTATAATGTAGTAATTCGTATGAATTAAAAGCTTAACTTTTTTCAAAACGTTTGTTATAATATTAAAAACTTAAAATTAAATTATAAAATAATCATCATTTGCTGCACATTTTTGTGAAATTATATTATTAAAATTATTTAAAAAAAAACGGTAGCACAGTGGGGTCGCGGCATAGTGGAGACATTGCATAGTAGGGTCCAGTATAGATTTAATCTGACAGTGATTAAAATCACTATCATAAGAAACGCTTCGATGCAAATCTGTAGATAGTGTTTAATTTTAAAAAATTGATGGATAATTGCAAAAGCAACATCAACTTCTATTAAAATAAAATACAAAACCCATAATTATCATACAAAAATAGTATATTTTT